CAATCTTCACCGTGTGAGAGTTGTTATGTTCTAACTGCTACTTGCAAGGCTAATCATCTCACTATACTATAAGACACTAGGTGTCGACTATGCATGATATCTTCGTGACTCTTTTTGATGTGCTTGTATGTTGTATGAATAGAGTTGATTTAGGCTCGCTGTCATTATGGACTTGGAGTTGATGAAGACTTGATGGAGCCAATCTAAGATCGGAGTCAATATGGACTTGAGGTTGATACAAACTTGGGGTTGTTACGGACCCGATACAAATTTGTGTTGGTATATTTTGTATGTGGTACTTTTGAGAAACTCACTAAGCTTTGTGCTTACATATGTTGATTTATTACGTTTCAGGTACTTCAGATGATCGCGGGAAGATGAATGCTTGATTGTACACATCCATCTGCAATTATTGTGATTTTCGCATGTCTTGATACTCTGATATTTGGGAATGATTGTATTTAATACTTATGTTTTTCTTGACTTGTTTTTTGAGAAACAATATTTTATCATTAATTAAAAATGAATTTTTTGTTTTGAAAATGAGACGCTACACAGCAACTTAAATCAAGCAATTAACTAAAAATTAACTATGAATACTTAAAGCGATCAAATACAAAAGAAATTAAACCAAGATTAAAAAGCACTTTCGTTTATCTTTGAATTTCCTTTTTTCCTATGGTTGATTTCTAATATAATGGATTATTAATGTTGCTTACCAAATTATGAAGTTACTAGCTATCTTGTTTCGATTTCTTAGTATTTTATCAATTTATGAACTACTATTCCAATGGCCATGCAACTAGTGACACTAAATTGATTTTAAGGTTATTTGGACTATGAATGACAAGATCTAATGAATACATATCTACGATCAAAACACACAATTCAAGCACATAATATTGATAATTAATGCTCTCAACCACATATAAAATTACTAATTATTACCACCTAACCCTAAGATATGTTTTATCTCTACATCTAGCAATTCAATGGTCATAAATAACTAGATATCAAGTTCATGCAACTAGGATAATCATCTAACTACACAAAATTTGTAGAATAAGCAATAAAAATTAGAACTTTAACATGCTAGGATATTAATCTATTAAACACAAGTAAAAACCAATGTAAATTAATTCATAAAAATCAAAATGAACTCATAGTATTAGGGTCTATCTATGCTAAATGAAAGTAGGGTATTTAACCCATAACTAAGTCAAGAACACATTAAAAAACAAAATTCAACCTCCATGACGCGACACAATCAATCTTTGGTCTTTTTAGGGTTTTTAGGAAAGTTTTGGTCGCCTTTTTTCATAGGTATCATCAACACTCCCTCGAAATTCGACCTAGAAATCATTTAAATAAGTTACCAAAATTCAACCACCACGACACGACACAAAGCTCGCCACGTTGTGGGAGACATTTTCTTTACATATGCTCCAAGATTTCCATGCATATCAACTTGAAAGCTCCCACGCTTAACACGTAACCACGTCGCTTAACACGTAACCACGTCGTGGCATGTATGTGACCACAATGTGGCATCCATTTTATTCCTGTTTTTTCTTCTCTTGATGATTTCTTCAAGTCTCCAAGCCTCAAACTATCCAATTTTGCTCCTTTCTCCATGAGAATGTCTTTTTGGCTACAAAATATATTTTTAACACAATAATTATCAAATATCTTATTAAATAGCCAAAATGTAGCTAAATGTACTTAAATATTGCTTAGAATATATGACTATATATACCAATATCATTATCCCCATAGATGGTTTAGGCCAACAAAATGTCACTATTAGAGTATCGCCTCATGATTCATGTAACACCCCGACTCTCAGGTATTAATTTTACAACTTTATTTTTCATATTTAAAGGTCTACTTGACGAGTTGGATGCCCTGACTCGGCGAGTAGGAACATTTTTGGGCCACGTGTTAAAGTGACCAACTCGTCGAGTCGGAGGCGTGACTCGACGAGTTGGAGTTGGAGGATGAAACCCTAAATTCTGGGGTTTGCACCCTATTTAAAGGGTCGTTAGCCTCCCTTACAGCCCCTTGTGAATCCAGAAACCCTAAACTTCTGTTTTTCTCTCTTGCTGTGTGATATTAAGCCTTGTGGTGGATTGTGGAAGGAAGATTTTGAAGTACTCAAGCTTGGAACAAGAGGAAGACTGTAGATTCGAGTCCTACTTCATCTTAGCATCGTTTCTGAGGTAACAAGTTGTTACCTTGACCTTCTTCTATCTAGATCCATGCATGTATTAGATTAGGGCCACTTTGGCCATGTTGATATGTTATTTTGGGTAGGAGGCGTGATCTGAAGTTGCAACTTCAGATCTAGGCTTATCTTGGTCTATAAGATCATAAAGTTTCAGCCTTTAGTGAGTTAATACCTTCTTCACCCCTTAGAACCTTTCTTTAGCTTAATTTTGGCCATTATCACCTTGCATGTACATAAAGTTTGCAACTTTACGTAAGAAGTATGCCTTAGGAGCGTGGATCTGCATTATGGAGCTTTAAGTGGCTTAAAAATCGTATGGATGGAGAAAGGAATGAAGGGACTCGCCGAGTTGCATGGCCAAATCGGCGAGTCCGATGATGATTGTCGTGTAAGGATTTCTGCATGGACTCGGCAAGTTAGTAGGATGACTCGATGAGTCAGCTAGGGTTTTCCCGACATTTGGACATGCATAAACTTGGCGAGTTGCAGAGAAACTCGACGAGTCAATGGGGGATTTCACGACTTCTCGAGTTCGGGAAGGACTTGACGAGTCAGTGAACTGCACTCGACAAGTCGAGTCAACATGGACTGTTGACCTTGACCATTGACTGGGACTTTGACCAAAGGGTGACTAGTTGACTTCTAGGGTATTTTGGTAAATTGGAAATTTATGGGTATGGTTCTATGGTAAATATAGGTGGTGGATTTCGTGTGCGTGGTTCGTGAGTTGAGCTTATCACTTCGATTCGACACTTGAAAGATGAGTTCTCCTCACTATATCAACTAGGTCTAAGGCACCAATGCCGACCCTTTTCGGATTGGTATCCGGGTTATTGCATGATATGCTTATTGATTTACATCCTGGTAGTTAGGATGGTGACATGCTTAGTGATCTGGTTAGGTCGGTATCCTGGTATATAGGATGATGTTATGATAGTGATCGGTTAGGTCTGTATCCTGGTTATAGGATGTTGTTATGGTTATTGTTCTGTTAGATCGGTTGACCGTTATATATATATATATATATATATATATATATATATGATAGCGTATGATATTTATGTGCACATGTTTGTTGATTGGGGGTTAGGTTGAGGCGGTCCTGCTTTGTGCTAAAGGCCAACATACCCAGGGTGGTCCGGATAAACTGAAGGCCCTACAAATGGATTCAGTCAGGCGAAGGTCCGGTGAGCGGTCCGGATAGGCTGTTGGCCCTGCAAGGCGGTCCAGACGTGCCAAAGGTTCAGAGACCGGTCTAGATAAGCTGAAGGCCTACGAGGCGGTCCAGTTAGGCTGAAGGCTCATTATGCATTGTGTTTTATTATATGTTATATGACATGGTTATATTAGTATGGTGTTGGTATTTTGGGGGTAACTCACTAAGCCTTCGAGCTTACATTTATTGGTTATTGTTTCAGGTACTTGTGATAATCGCGGGAAGGCGAAGGCGTGATCGTATAGCTCCTTATATTTCATGCTTTTATGATTTGATTCTGGGATACTTTGACATTATACTATTTTGGAAACATGTTTTGTAATAATCTTGGTTTTGAAAATGTTTTAAAAAGTTTAAATTTGACATGATTTTTATGAATGTTACAATTCAACTATCATCGGTTGATAATATATGTCATTTGTCGTAAGTCATGTTTGGACTCCATTGATGTATATTGCAGATAACTCTCGAGTTTCCAGTACCGACACAATTTTGTTAGGGGCGTTCTTTTTGACGTATTAGGCAAACTAGGTTTTCGCTAAAAATGAAGCACCCAAAAAAAATTTGACTGACGTTTTGGAAGGAAGATCAACACTCAGAACGAATGATGTTTTCATTTTCGGATATGAAGAAAACACGTATGTGTGGATTGAACACGTGTTTCCCCTCTTATGAGCTTAAGAAATGGGTGCTTCAATAAGGCGACTAATCCGAATGCTTTATGCAAAACGGAAAACAAAGGAAAACATGCATATATAATCAACATGTGTTTATACCATTAATGTATTGCATTTTTAATTTCCTATAACAAGAGATTAGGAAACTCATCAATAAAGTGCAATAGGTCATATATATATATATATATATATATATATATATATATATATATATATATATATATATATATATATATATATATAGTAATGTTATGACTTCAATATCTTTAGATATAGATTTAAAAAAAAAATTACAATCTAAAAAAATTAGCGGTACAAACTGTTGCAATTTTGCATTCCATCCTTGATGTAAACTTAGGTTTTGTCGGATTAGCTGGAATGGAATGAAATAGAAACCGGGGAAAAGGAATTCACTTCCACCACATTTTAGTGTTTGGTTCAACTTTGTATAATTTAATTGGAATCCTAAATGAAATTTTTTTCCATCAAATAGGAAAAACACTTTCATTCAAGAAGATAATGAAATGACATTTTATCTTACCCATCACTCATGCACCACCGACACCACCACCTATTTACCGCCACCACTACCACCACCACCTAGCATCGCCATCGCCACCGCCACCGCCACCTATCGTCGCCGTCATTGCCACCACCACCGCTGCCACCACGAAACCACCATCACCAACATGATTGCTTATTAATAAAATAAAATTTATTATTTTTATAGTTTATATAATATATCTTTAAATGTAAGATAAAAAACAAAATAAACTAAAGCAAAACAGATAAAAAATAACAATTATATCATTTTACATAGATTGCAATTTCAAGTCCTTCTAACAAAATAAAATCTTAAATTAATTTAAATTTCATCTTCTCCAACCAAACAATTTATTAAATTAGATTTAAATTCAAAACATTCTCCACAGCAAACAACAACTAAATATTAACCCTAAATATTATCGTTAAAAGAAAATATTGTATGAAAAAATAAATAAAACATATAAAAAAGTAAAATTACTACTCATGGCCATCGTTCTCGTTACATAAATGCAAGGTCGGCAAAGACAGCATTGGAAATGAAATGGGTGTGCGTAACTGCACCTATCGTTCACTTCACTACAGGAAAGGAAGCTTTGGCGGAGGTGACGATGGAGAGGAGGGGAGTTACCACTTACCGGTGATCTCTTTCACTACTAATTTTTGAGTTAGGTGGGAGTTGCTCGTCTGCACTCTGACCAGTTTCAATAAATTGCACCCAACGCCCTTCATCCCCCCAATCAATTCACTTTCCGCTTTTCAAAACCCCCGGCCCCACCACCTCTCCGATCACCAACCGCCGATGACATCCCATTTCTTTATTTCTTTCTCTTTCTTTACTTATAGACATGCAAAGATGTTTTGATTAGAGCTCAAGTGAACCAAGAGAGCCATGGGATACTCCGCCGTCGTCAGTTCCGATGGGCCGGTGAGAAATGCTGCTGATGAAGTGTCAAGAATCGTCGAACAAAGTAAAGAGTTGCAGGATTCTGCAACATCCTTAATTTCTCGAACATCTGAGGAGGAAGCATCCCTCCGACAGCGAGCTCTAGCTCTCCGTTCGAACATCAAAATGCTCCGATCATTCATCGCTTCTTCCCTCAAGAAAGGCAATTTAGATCCTAAGAATGCTGCAAAAGTAATCCATTGGAATACCCTCGAACTTCACTAATGATTTATTACAACTTTCCTTTTCTTTTTCACTTTGTTTTGTTTACGCGTCTGTTGCTGTACACAGATGATTGAAGACTTAACCAGAGTTAATTTTGCATTAAATGAAGGTGATGCAGCTGCATATCTTCCCTGCAAATCCCATGGTGCGTTTATTTGTCCCCTTACAAGATTCATCATTGAGAGTTCGACACAAATCAACTCTAAAATCGATATGGGTTTTCTCGATTTTGGAGAAAAAACTCCTAATTAATATGGTGTTCCATTTTGTTGATGAAGCGATTTGTGTTTTGAGCAGGACGGTTTTTGAGGATGTTACTTGGCCCGATAAATGTTCGTGCTAACAGAAAGGACGTTCAACTGAAAGTTAAAGAGGAGTACAACAATTTCAGGGTACAGTTATTTTCGTAGCTTCAACACTATCGCATTCTCTTCATTTTTTCTATAAATCTATCATCGTTCTTCCCTTTTCTTATATGATTGTAGGATACAACTGCGTATCTGTTTCTTCTTTTTCCATCATTGCTACTGGTACTACGAACATGGATGTGGAACGGATGTTTTCCTGCATTGCCTGTGCAGCTTTACCAGGTGAGGTTACATGTTCATCTCTTTCATCCAAGTGTATCTATCATACACAAAACGCATGTTCTTTTCAGGCATGGCTACTCTTTCTCTACACAGGCTTGTCATTCAGAGAAAATGTACTCCGGGTTAATGGAAGTGATATTCGTCCATGGTAATCTTATCTGTCTTCTACTCTTCTCTAGTCTTACGTATTTCACATGATTTACATAAATTGTGATGCTTTCTTCAGGTGGATTTACCATCATTATTGTGCTATGGCTATGGCACTCATCAGTCTGACTTGGGAGATAGAAAGGGAACCTGAGTGTGCCCAGAAGCAGGTTATTTTTTGTTATAAAATGTATTAGCTTGATGTAAATTTATAAACATTCGCCATGCATGTTCTAATCTTTATTATTTGTAATCAACCTGTTTGTAGAAAGGGATACAATTGTTCTTAAAATGGGCAATCATGCAAGGAATCGCGATGTTGTTACAAAATAAATACCAAAGGCAGAGACTCTATACACGTATTGCACTGGGAAAGGTTCTATAATCATATTAAATGATTGGATTCGACCTATATCATAAGCAATTTAGGATCTTTTAAGGTTGTTTTATTGACATTCTTTTCTTGATTATATATAGGCTAGAAGAATGGATGTTGTTTGGGGAGAAACGGCTGGAGTAGAAGGTCAATTATGGTTCTTGTGTCCTATGCTCTTTGTGTTGCAGGTTTTTGAAGGTTACGTTGGTGTTTTATTACTAAAAACTGCCATGGTTGGTGTCATCTCTGAATGGCAGGTAAAATTAAGAATGTCGTGATTTGTCATTTTATGTTATGGTCAATCTGGTTGGAAGTTGAATCATATCCACATTGTTTGCAACAGGTTGTAACCTGTGGAGTTCTTTTGATCACCATGGCTGTTGGGAACTTTGCAAACACAGTGGAGACTCTTTTATTGAAGTCCCGATTCAAAGCAAAAATGAAAAAAGGTAAACAAACAGAAATCTAGTCATGGATCTTAGTTTCTGTTTCTTCTAGTTGTATCAGATTACGCGTATATGTAGACATACTTATCCATGATTCTTGGGTATAACTTGTTTATGAGATAATTAAGTTTGCAGTTGATTTAAACGAGTTTGTTAACGTTGATGGTTTTTTGGAAGTTATTAGGTATGGTAGGGTGGTTATATATGCATGTATGGGTTAGACTATTAGACGATGGTGGGGTTAGGTCTTGATTGTTGGGACTCAAATAGTCAAATGTAAGGTAGGTGCGAGTCATGTTGAGTTTGTGTGGTTTTATTAATGAAATGGTGCAAGTTTGGTAGAAAGTAAATGGGGAACCATTTGGGTCCATGTATATGGTACACTAAGGTGAACCAATGTGGATCGAGAAGCCAACTTAGAGAGTTGAAGATACTTTGGTTAAGCCCAATTAGCCTACAAGTACATTGGCAAGGTCACTCATTGGGTGGACCTATGCTCAAGGCCCAAGGTGATATCTCTTGAAACATTTTTGTAGTATTTCACTATTTTATAGAAGAGAGAATGAAATGAATAATAATTGTAATTATGATGATTTGAAGTAATTTTGAATTTTGATTTTTCGGTGGAATCTACGAAAATACACATATTTTATTATATGACATCATTGTAAATTTGGAATGGTTAATGTCATAAATGGGTAACGAAATATATGAAATATTCAATAAACACCTTGTCTCTATATTATCAAAAAGTAAGCTACTTGAATGTTAATTCAAAAAACACCATCATTACCACACAATTTTACCCATTAATCGACCACGTAGGCATTCTATGTGGCCAAACGTTGTCGTTAGGTTATACGGTATCGAGTTTTGGTGGCTACACGTGGGGCCTACTTGTCAAGGTCACCTACGCGTGAACACCGCCCCAGGTGCGTGTAGATGCCTTGTGGCGTGGTGCATATCACGGACGAAGACAACGAGAGAGAGAGAGAGAGAGAGAGAGAGAGAGAGAGAGAGAGAGAGAGAGAGTGTAAATGGTTCTTTTTTTGACCGTTGCATTTCAAAAAAAAAAATTAATTTTAATTTTAAATTTAAATAACATCTTTACATATATATATATATATATATATATATATATATATATATATATATATATATATATATATATATATATATATATAAACACACATCCTAAAAATACAAATACGACCCAAATTTTTTTATTTAAATAGTAATAAAAATTATATACTATTTGTCATATCATAAAAACCATGTATCAAATATCTCAACTCATAATAAAATGTCGTGAAACAACTGTATCAAATCAAACTACAAATCAAAACAAACTCCCATGATAAAGGCTGAAGTTGTGGTGTGTGCGATGCCATCATCCTGAGCTCTTCCCCTTACTTGCGGAAGTACCTGAAACCAAAACTGAAACTGTAAGCACGAGGCTTAGTGAGCTCCCCCAAACTACCACATACCATACAATAACATATAAACACGTACTGGACCTTGCCCACTGCATCGGGCCGAAGCCCGGAAACTGCATCGGACCGTAGTCCGGAACTGACTGGGACCTTGTCCCCTGCATCGGACCGATGTCCGGAACTAGCTGCATCAGACCGAAGTCCGGAACTGACTGTATCACACCTAAGTCCGGAACTAACTGATCATAGCATAGCATAAACACATATCAACTAGCATAACACTCATCATCATAAGCTCATATACTGCATACTACGTCAGGCCGTAGCCCAGAACACATAACACATAAATCCTGTCTGAGCCACGAAGGCATCAAACACACTAACAACTGCATCAGACCGAAGTCCCGAAACTACTACTAACTAAACGGGTCGGCATTGTGGCCTTAGACTCGTTCCTACTGGAAGGAAACTCACCTCGTAGCCTAGCTGCTGAAAGGACTGCTCCAGAATCTGTCTGCTGTGTCTCCGGTTTCACCCCGCCTACAATATCCATGAGCACCATCAATCAAATACTGATAATAATAATACTAAGGGTAAAATGACTCTCCTACCCTTGGTCCAAGTCAACCTAACTGTCAAAGTCAACATTCAGTTGACCTGACTCGTCGTGTTGGGCCGCCAACTCGTCGAGTCCTTACTCTTACTTCCTTGATTCCACTCGTTACTACTCGTCGAGTTTTGGCGCAAACTCGGCGAGTTCCTCTTCGCTACTAACACTTTGACAATCTGCATCCGACTCGCCAAGTTGTATGAACAACTCGTCGAGTTCTCCTTCCTCAGATGATCATTCTAGCTGTGACTCGCCGAGTTGTATGAACAACTCATCGAGTCTGTTCTTGAAGTATGAAGATGGCCTTGGACTCGCCGAGTCAGGGCATTGACTCGCCGAGTTCTTCCACGAATGAGTCTAACCCTCTAGCTCACCGAGTCCACCTCTCACTCACTGGTTCCACTCGATATAACTCGAAATAGGAAACACAGGGGACTCGTGACTCGACTCGTCGAGTCAGAAGAACGACTCGTCGAGTCGTATGCATGCAAATACTATACACTCGATTCTGCTTGAAACTAGTCCATGCCATTAATAGATATGGGTTCCTGGGACTTGATTTACACGTAAAGTTTCCAACTTTACGTGTAAATAACATCAAATGAAGGTTTTAAGGTTAAAAGCACACTATAATAGTAGATCTATAGCTTTCATGCAAAATGGATCCATAAAGGTGCTAGATCTAAGCTCCTGGAAATCAAATCTAGCTAGATCTGAAGGTTAATCAACTCCATCAGTCCTCTATGCTACTACTAAGCTAAGAAATGGATCAATAATGGCTTTAATGGCTTCACAAAGGAGATTTAAGCATAGAAACAGAAAAGGGCCAAGATATACCTTACTTTCTTCTGAAATTCCTCAAGGATCTAGGATCTCCTTCTTCTCCTCCTGATCTACCTTCCTTTATCTCTCAAAATCTTCAAAGAACACACCAAAATCACACCAAAATGCAAAGAGGGCTTTAGGGTTCGAGTATGATGCTCTGAGGGGTGATGGGGGCTGACTTGAGGCCCCAAAAGTTGTTTATATAGGGTGCAAACCCTTGAAATTAGGGTTTCATCCAGACTGGCGGACTCGCCGAGTCGCTAACTTAAACGTGCTCGAAATCGCGACCCAACTCGACGAGTCCGACTACTGAATCGTCGAGTTTCCCTTAAAACTTGAAGAAATATAACAATAACTAACAATATAAATATCATACCAGAATTAGGGTGTTACACACACACACACACTACACTTTCACTCTTCATTTTACACTTCCAAATCAAAAAAATACTCCTACTTTATTTCACTTTTCTTCCAAAAAATGGATCCAAACCAAAATACTCCACCCACTCCAAACACCCCAAAACTCCAAGTGATTATCAAGCAAATATGCAATTGTTGAATTTTCCAATCCAACAACAACCTTTATTCACTATCCTTCCATACAACCCCTAATTCTTCCAACAACAACGACCACAACAACAATTCACTCAACCTCAATTCATTCTCCAACCTAGGTTTTCAACAAGTTTCTCCACAACTCCAAACACAATCATCTCAAGTCCCATTAACTCAATCTTAAACAGCCAACCTTGACAACGACGATGAAATGGTCCAAGAAACACCACAACCATCTCGAAGAAGGCAACCAAAAGGAAAAATGGAAAAAGAAAGCAACGACTTGGAAAATGGCATGATCTTCGCACGATTTGCACAAAGTTTAATGGCATATTTGAAAATCTAAAAAATATGCATAAAAGTGGTTCCAACGATTTCAACATTTTATCAACTGCGTGTTACCAATTCAAAGTGACCAACAACGGTAAACCATTTGGTCACCAAAAAGCGTGGGAAGTGTGCCTGTCAAGGTCCAAAATGGCTCCTTCATCCAGAGACATCGCATTTAGACTCGACCACCGAATCCAACAAAAGAACAAGAACTTCTGAATCAGACGCGGGTTTTAGGCTAGACCTCAATGATGATGTCGATGTTGATGAGGGAGAGGGTCAACATAAAGTCCAACTCCGTCGACCACGGGGAAGAGACAAAGCAAAACGGGTGGTGTCTTTAAGTGGGAAAGCAACTGCAACTAGCGACGACGAGCTTGTGGAATCCATAGATAAAACTTTAAGTTTTCTAGAAAGAAAATACGAATCCATGGAGGAATCTCGTCTCCAAAAAAATCGCTCTTACGAAATCATATACTCGAAGCCTTACCGGATCTCGACCCCGAAAATCTCGTGATATTTCTCAAAATCTAACAACGTGTCCGTGCTAAGTATGGGGATTAGGTTCTAATATTTATGTTTTAGTTGTTATGTTGTGTGTTTTTTTAAGTAATTTAGGATAAATAAATAATTTAGGATTTTTTTTAAAAGTATTTTAGGATAAATAAGTAATTTAGGATTTTTTTGTTGTTTTTTTTATAAATATTTTAGGATTTGATTTTGTGTGTTTTAAATTAAGGCAATGTGTTTTAATTTTGTGTTTTTAATGTGTGTTTTATTTGAATTACTTTTTTTTTTTAATTTAATCAAATATTGTCAAAAAAAAAAATGATGTGGAGTGATAACAATTTCCAAGGGTTAGTGGACTAGTAGTGGAGGTGATGTGGCATCACTTTTTGAGTAGGTTGGATGTACCCCTTAGCCTTATATCATATCAGGCGTAACCTTGCGTGTTACACAAGAATGCATTTAAGTGGTTAAAATAATTATGGGGAAAAAATAGAAATATGTTGAAATTTACGTTTTTAGTCATGTTTTGGCATTAACCGAATTATCAAATAACATAAATATCTATCAATTTATATTTTGATACTATCTAATATAGTCCATACCTTATAAACTTTAATTTTACTTTTATAATATCCAATATATATTATTAGTTTTTGTATAACATTAATATAATCTATTTTCTTATGTCCGATAATATTTTTTTGGATAAAATAAGAAATAAGTTGTTTTGAATGAGCTATTAATAAACAATATTGAACTAATAAACTGTGTATTACACTATTTATATTACACCAAAACATCCAGGTTTCATATATGAACTTTCAAATATTAAACATTGAAATTAAGAATGAAGTCATACAAAATATATCATTATACATAAATGTCATCAATAGTTTTAAAATAAGTCGATTAGTAAATATGATATTTAATTTCAGTTACATATTTTATAAGGCGTACGTTTGATTTTATGTTGGTGCGTCGACAATCATCTTCCTTAATTTGTACCTAAAAAATTAAGGTGAATAGGAATATAAAAGATATATTACTAAGCATTAATATAAATAATTAAAAATGGTATCTGGATCTCCTACCACCAGTTAAAGACAACATACATCTCTAGTGGTATCGATTTCTATGTGAAATTGAAGTAGTCATTCTAGGTATACATTGTTTTCTAATTACATAAACAAATATGAGTAACCAAACATAAAAATGTTATCTTTATGTAGGAAAAATATTTTAGTTAACTAACAAATTAAATAATATAATTTTAAGAGTTAGGAACTTCAAAACATTAATATTTTTATTAATCAATCAATTAAGTAACACATGTTGAAATTTTTACAATTATTATTAAAAAACATTTGAAATATTAG